CCCAACATGCACACAATTAAATTATATAATTGTGTATTATTGTCAAATGACAGATAGTCTATTTCCGGAGGTTTGGTTACACTACCCTCAATTTTCTAGTGTACCAACAAGACTATTGACAACATCTACATATTTGCTCTTAGATATTCCTTCTTTGATCTAAGGAACTGAATCCTGTTTAAATGAAAGCAAACACCCCTCAAAGGGGTAATGTTTAAAGATTGTATCGGTCGTTAACACCATAGCATAAATTGTGGAATTCAGGTAATTAGCATTTATTACAGGGCTTTTGAGGGCCTGTGTCAGGTCCAGTGACAGTAAAGACATGCCCTTGAGGAGCTTTTGACTTTTGTCATTACTTCATTTGGTAATGTTGGACAAGTTGATTCACTTTTGGGCTGAAGTTTGTCATCTGTGAATTGAAGGGACTGGATTAGAGTAATGGCTTTTTAAATATCTGGGGATTTCCAGGCTCTCCCTCTGGAAAGAAAAGGGGTTGAAACCAGTATAGCTCTTGGTTCACTTATTTATACCTTAGGCCTTTTTGAAACTTTTTTTTTTTTTGAGAAAGAGATTTTCAGCTAAAATATTAAAAATTAACAGTTCTGGAAATAACCCTACTGGATGATTTTCAAGATTTTTAAAAAAATTGTTGCCTCCAGTGGCATTCAACATTCTGTAATTTGACCCTATTTTCTCTATTCACAATAGGATAACCTCCTAAGAGGACATTTTCACTGAGAAGAAAGAAGTCCAGTAGGGCACTCTCTGGGGGTTTCTTGACATTGGTCAGACAAAGACCTAAAGTGTTTAGTGCTGTGTGTGCCAGTGTGGATGTGCAGGAGGTTGCACCCAAGCTCAGCTTGGCAATTTATCAAATTTGCCAAAGGTTAGGCCTGGGGCTCACCAGAGCCTGGGCCGCCAACTTTGTGAGAAAAAAATTTCCCTCTGAGGAACTTAATTTCCACCAATTCTTCCACTTCAGAAATGTCATTTCTCTCTAAGAAGTGCATTTCCTGCTACTTTTCAGAAAGAAGTTTGGGGCTTCAATAATTCCACTGGCTACATTTCAGCAGGCAAAATGTAGCTTAAAAATATACATAGGAAAAAGGAACTTTCAACACAATAATCTCATCTGATATGGAGAAACTTTAAATACAAACCATATTATGCCTTGGCTCTTTTCCTCCAGCCTCAACTTGGAATATTTTCTGGAATTGTTCCAAAAAAACTCTCTTAACAATGTCAAAAGAAATGTTAGGACACTCTTTCAACAGTCCTTTAAAATATTAGGAAGTGCAGAAATCACTAACTGATTTGAACTGACCAAAACAGAGAAGGGCTTGTTGTTTGGCATTATTTTTATGATGCTCAGATAAAATCTCTTCTTGGATTGACAGTATAAATGGAAAAGATTGAAAGCTATCTGGAATCTTTTTATTGGGGGTCATAGGGTTTGAGGCTTGAGAAAAGCCCCACACTTCCTTAACTTCCCACCATTAAACTCTGAACTTTAGGACCAAAATAAAATCCACGGGGCAAATTTACAAGGGTCTCAGAATGGCTATCCTAGTGGGGGAAAACACAAGGGGAGGGAGTTGAACCTGGGAATCTTAGCATCTTCATGTTGGTCCTGACTGCAACTGCATGTATGGTTGGGGATCTGAGATACAGTCTCTACATTCCAGAGAAAAGAGGAATATCAGTAAAGTAGGAAGATGTCCCAGAGACTGGAGAGATGTAGGCAAGTAAAGGTAAGTAAACAGTGATAGTTAGCTTGAGGACTAAGGTAGAGGTAAACTGGAATTGTCCATGCCCAGCCCTCAACGATCTTTGAAACCGCTCAGCCTTTTAAGTGACTTCTGGTCAAGAAGCAGCCTGGATTTTCGTAGTGTGGCAGGTGTAGACTTTATTACGTGCCATTGTCTCTGAGACAGCTTTTTATTGAAAGAGGAGGAATTTTAAAATATATCAAGTGTATTAGTCCATTTTCACACTGATGATAAAGGTATACCAAAAACTGGGTAATTAATATAGGAAAAAGGGATTAATGAACTTACAGTTCCACATGGTTGGGGAGGCCTCACAATCATGGCAGAAGGCAAGGAGAAGCAAGTCACATCTTACATGGGAGGCAGCAGAAAAGAGAGAGCTTGTGCAGGGAACTCCTCTTTTTAAAACCATCGGGTCTCGTGAGACTTATTCACTATCACGAGAACAGCACGGGAAAGACCTGCCCCCATGATTCAATTACTTCTCACCAGGTACCTCCTACAACATGTGGGAATTCAACATGAGATTTGGGTGGGGACACAGCCAAACCATATCATCAGAATAATACAGATGCCCAGTGAGTTCTAATGATAAATATTTTCCTCCAGCTAGGAGGATCAGAACAAGTGTGAGGTACTTGACTAGAGCCATGGGTTGGGCACTAAGAAAAAATCTTGCTTCACACACCAGACTATGCAGATGAGGACTGGTCTTTCTCTGATCTTTGTAGTCCTTCTTGGAAAGGTATCATTCATAGTGACAGTATCTAACTTGGCTCAGACTTAGTCCTCATTGAGGCAGTATTTATAAAATGATTTTATTGCTAGTTGGTAAAGATGTTCAGAGGATGTACTCTGTGCCAAATGTTGTTTGTTTGGGGTTTTTTTGGTAAGTCCAAGGTAGGCATTTGAGTGTCACTTCTTTCTATCAGTTCACTCTCTTTCTTTCTTTCTTCATTTCATTTTTTTTTTTTTTTGGTGGAGTTTCACTCTTGTTGCCTAGGCTGGAGTGCAATGGCAGGATCTTGGCTTACTGCAACCTCTGTTCAAGCGATTCTCCTGCCTCAGCCTCCCAAGTAGCTGGGATTATAGGCATGAGCCACCACACCTGGCTAATTTTGTGTTTTTAGTAGAGATGGGGTTTCTCCATGTTGGTCAGGCTGATCTCGAACTCCTGACCTCAGGTGATCTGCCCGCCTTGGCCTCCCAAACTGTAGGGATTATAGGCGTGAGCCAGCATGCCCAGCCAGTTTTCTTTCTTTATGACTTTTCTTCATACGAAGGTGTAGAGTGTGATGTTTTCTATATACTTTGAATTTCTTTAAAAAAGGCTATTTTTTTTATAGGAAAAAAGTCAAACCACAGTATATTTGTGTTTTTAAAATAATACAATACTTTCTATTAAATTGATTATATTGTGTATTGCACAATACTATTTTATAATTCTGCTGACTCCTAGTAATGGATCTACAACCCTGTGTTGAAAGAAGACTGTGTTCTCATGAAGAACCAAAATGATAGAATCTCATACAATGGACCTGTGCCTCCAAGTACATTATCAGTGACTTCTGATTTTTGTGATCTCTAGTCAATGAAACTACAAAGTGAGATCATTTGGAACTTACGGAAGGCTAGATAAGAGAGAAAGCAAAACTTCAAAATATGAGACTGGTTTAGTCAAGACCAAGGGACCATGAACTGTTTGGGACTCAGAAGGAAAAAAGGGGAACTTGAAAGTGACTATAATAAATAGGCCCCAATCTACTGTTCCGAGATTGGCTTCTACTTGATGGGAAAATTGTGGTTCCCCAAAGTAAAGACAATAAATTTGATTAAGGGATCTGCCTGGAAAAGGGAGTGTACTCTGACCTCTGGGAGAGGGTTTTGCCTCACCACATCCTACGTGTACACTGGATGAGTAATATTTATTATTGAGCCATGTGATGGAACGACGAACAAAGGTTGTTCCTGGTCACCCTGTGTCTATCACTGCAATTGCTCCTCTTGTAAATGTGATATATTGCTGGCCACCCTCAGCTGTTTTTGAAGCAGAAACAAATGCTATTTTGTAAATAGAGCTTAGAACCCCTGGACATGTACTAGGACAGCTTATCAAACATATTGCATGTTCACTCTCGTGCTCAGTTGCAGAAGGATCTCCCAGGACTTCCTTTGCCATGGGGCTATGCTTTGATTGGCTGTGAATGATGTCATCACACTGTTTACTTTTTTTAGTGAAGGCAAAGATCTGAATGTGATATGCATGTGCACACGTTAAGTAATGGGAGAAACTCTACCCATAGATTTCGAGCCATGTTGTACTCATTTACTATGAGCCTATGATGTGACAACTCAGTAAAACACAAATCAATTGTGTGTCCTTTGGTGATTTACAACTTTTGGAAGTTTCTGTTTGTCTTGGATGCTTCCTCTTGGACTATCTTTGTAAGTTTAGTATTTGGGTCCTACTGTTAACAAACTGATTTTTTTCTGCAAACATAGGGCAATCTGCTAGGCACAATTTGAAATGAAATTTACAGATAAAGTTCTGCCGTGACAAAATTTTAAGACAAATAGGCTTTGTTTGTCATTGACAGTTGAATTGACAGGTCTTTGCAACTCATTTATACAAAGCAGAACGTGTCTGGGAGAAAAGATATTTGACTAGGTGGTATAAGAAAATTATTAATGCATTTATTGAGCTTAGAAAAGATTGGATTCCTCTCTGGCATTTCTAGGGAGGTGGGAAAATGTTCAGTGTTAAGGTCAAAAATAACTGATTAAATCATAGAATTGAACGTATGCAATACTGGTCAGCGGATGTCATGGAATAGACCAACAAATTTTCAGGAGGGATGAATCCTACCAAAATGTCTTCAAAGTTTTGGGTTTTTTTTCTAAGTATGATTTCATCCTGCTCTATGCCAGGTATATTCCAGAAATTTGGGTTGCACAGTTAAAATAAGAATAATAATATTTTTACAATTACTTTTATTATAATTTGAAGGTACAAAGGTACACTGTCCAATAAAAAGCTAAGGGCTCTAGTTAAATAAAAACTAGGCTTAAGAACCCAAGAGGGCATCCTGAGGCAATGTCAGTTTTGGACATTTAAGGCTTTCATATCCTCATTAATCCATCCACACGATAAGCCTAACAAATATTTGTTGATGCTGATGAGGGCTATTTCACATGATTTCAGCATATTCATTAGAAGCATCTACATACCAAAACATTCCTCGAAGTTGATTCTTGATTCATTGACAACTTTGGCTGCTACCACGGGATTTCCAGAAGTTGCATTGTTCTTTCTGGGCATTCAGTGTAACTCACTCACTTGAAACTGCTTTCGTGGACAAAATGTGTTTCTAGGTCTAAGGTGAGAGAAAAATAAATAAATGAATAAGTAAAAGAATTAAATGTGGTATACTTTTATTATAGCACACTGATTTTCTAAAAGGCTAAATTATATTATATAGATAGATATAATTTTGGGTTCTCGTTAGAATGTATATTTGTCTAGAACCTATTAAACTTCTTTAAAAGATTTGTAGGCACTATCCAAAAATTCTCTAAAATATCTAAAATCTTGAACTTAGATAAAATTGTTGTAATATTTGTTTAAAGTTAGGAAGTTCTGTAAAGGGTTGTAAATTGCCAGCTTGCTCTGTGCTTTGCAGAATCACAGCTTGAACAGGGCCACGAGGACTTCAGGATGATCTATGACCCATAGCATCCACTCTGTTGTCAGACACTGCCTATGATGCAGAACTTACCTTTCATGATAAGCCTTCCACCTTTATATGTCTTTCAGAGGAAATTTATTTGCTTGGCCTTGGGTTACAGGTTTAACTTTTCTGGGTCTCAGTTTTTTCACTTGTCAAGGTGTTCAGTCATTTTTGAATTTCTACTATGGGTCAAGCAATCCCAAATCCCAGATATTTTCTTGTGGGGGCTGGAGGAGGACCAAGGCAGGGTATACATAAGCAGAAAAATGAAATGAAATAATGTGCACAGAAGTTTTAGGCATTAGGAAAAAAAGTTAGCTTTCCCAGGGGAAAGGCTGGAACATTAACAGTTATGAAGACACTATGGTGAGCCATTTAATAAGGTCAAGGAATTCTGAGGACACTGAAGAGCACTGGGAACATCACTATTTGATTCTTTAGCAGCTCCTTCCCCTCCAAGCTCATGAAGCTGATTTTCCTTAAAAACAGGTTAGTGGCTCTGTTCTCTGGATCAGGATTTCACCCTAGGTACTCCCATCCATTCCCTCCGGAGTCCCCTAGACTGTACATGCCCATGAAAGCAGGGACCCCATCTATTTAGTTCATCTTTCATTCATATCACCAAACCAAAACCTGACATGGAGATCCCAATAAGTATTTGCCGAATAAAAAAATACATGGACCATATCCAGAAGGTGAAGGGGAGCTACTACAGGAAGTTACACAAAATAGTGACATGCTTTTTCTCTTCCCTCATTAGGCCACCTGGAAGCATAATTCTGGTAGCAATGGGGACGTGGGTCAAAGGGTACTTGAGGTAAGGAGGCCTTGTAGGATGGTATTGCAATAATTCAAGTAGAGTGATAAGCAGGTGAAATAGGGCGATTCCAAGGATACTGGGGTTAGCCTTGATGGCTTACTGGCTATCTGTATCATTTGGATAAGCATCTTGTTATTGACAATTGAAAATATCCTAATGAAAACAGCTGGAGCTATACATTTGGTAGTCACCGGCCAGTGGGTGACTGCTAAAGCCAGGGATGTTACAGAGACTGCCTGGGAAAGGTAGGTTGAGAATGGAGTTCTGTGCACTTTATGTTTGTGATTGCATTCAATTCTGAATTCTAGCCTATGACCCAAGAGGCCCTAAAGCATCAAGGCACATCTTCTTCCACTTAGTTTGAAGGTTATTGTGTGGAATGAGTGAGATAATGTAATGTGCTTAGCACATAGTATTCAATAAAGGTTACCTGGCATGATTGTGAATAATTTAATATATAATTTATAGCTAATGATGGAAATACACCAACATATGTGCTTATTTAATTTTTCTTCTGCTTGCTTTAATTTGCCCCTCACTTCCAAGCAGAACGTTCCCCCTCCCTCTCTCTCTTTCTATCTGCCAGGGACAACTTAACCATTAGACACAGTGGACCTGGTGCTTAGGCCCACAGCACTTTTAGGAGCACACAAAAATGTTTTTATTTCTTTCAAAATCAGAAGAAAAAGATGAACTTTCAGGTTGAAGAAAATATTTTTATACATAATGTAATTGTATTCATCTTCATTCCAATGCAGTAGTAAAATAGAAATTTCAATTTTTTTTTCATGGAGAAAAAAGCCCACAAAAGTCAGGATGCAGCCCTGTTGCCTTTCCCCTTTGAGTTTCTGTTTTTCTCTCTTTGTTACTCTCTCCGTCTTCATCTCCTCCTTGCCTTCAACCCACTCTTTACTGTTGTAATTCCTAGCATTCTTCTACTTCTAGCATTATTTGGCCTATATCCATATGACTCCTTCATATTAAGTGAAAAAATAAAATAACAAAAACTAGCATTTTCCTTGCATTGGTTTTCCTTTCCTGTGTCTTTAATTTCTCAGGTTATCAGCTTTCAGAGTGAAGACACATAATCCCTGTTAGAGTAGAAGACTTAAAATCGAGTTTGAGACACACCTTCTGAAACTGCAGCCTCTTGGGAGCCTGATTACCAGTGAAGAGTGTTGCTGCTTTGCATTTTTCACACTTGAACACAGTGAAGAAGATGAACATTAATTAGGATTATAATGCCATGAAGGCTTACTGTGCTGTGAGAACTCACAAGAAGGAAAATGCCATTTCTTTTTTTTGGATGCAATTCTGAGTGTCATGTATGTATTAGTTCTTGGGCCCAAGCCAAGTTACTTTAGGGGTGATATACAATCTGTTATTTTTAGATCATATTGGGTAAGGGTGTAGGCTATTATTTTAGGATAGTAAGAGAAGATAAGTTTGTCTAATTTTAGATGATCAAGTTTCCTAATATGAATCTTCCTTTAGAAAGTATTTTTGAAATGTTATCGTTTATAGTTCAAGCTTATGGAGAACTTAATGTTGGAAGCATTCCTTAGTTCAAGGGGATTTCATGCCTGGGTGATTTTCGAGTTTGATTGTTTTCTAGCTTACTTGCCTGACTTAGGATCCTTACTGCTCCTTAAATTTCACAAATAGTGAGTTAAAGAAAAAAAGCAAACACACCAAAAACAAACCAATACTAAACTCCCTTCTCTAGCAACCAGACTGTCCTAGGGAGTTGTATGTAAAGTTAAAAAAAAGTGGCAGGATTCCTGTTTCACAAATAACTTGAATTCTAATTATTTTTTAAAGACAGATTTAAAACAAAGCATTTTGTGAATAATGTACAGATCATTAAGACTGTAATCGCTAAGCTGTAGTATATAATATAAGCCTCTATTTCACCACAAAAATTCACACTGATTACCCAGGATGATTTCCAGATGTTTACTCTCTGCATGTAATAAAATGTTGGTTAAAATTGTAACTTAGCTGCTATTTAAAAAAAAAACAAAAAAAACCCTAAACTCTCAACAGACACATGAAATTTTCACCAAGACTTTGCCCCCATAGAGTCATCCCTCTCACGACAGAAATCTTCAAAAATCTCTGGCTTACTTAAACCCACTTTTAATTTTAACCAGGGAGAGAAAGTTGAACTATGAAAGGTGATGAATCGATCACTTCACATATATCAACTGGGTGGAAGTTTCCACAGAACTTGCATAACTAGAAAATTGGTACAAGTAAATTATTGGGTCTGTATTCACAGATGCAAAAGGGAATAGGAAAAAGATTAAAATGGCAGTAAAGTTAAATCTTCAGGGAGAATCAAAATATCATGGTAAAACAGGGTATGAATACTGTCTTTTTATGTGTCGGGAACTTGAAATTTGTGAAAATATGCAATGGATCCACTTGGAGCATGACAGTATCATGTACAGCAGCTGAAGAAGAGACAGGTGCCACATGAGGAAAAAGGGAACAGAGAGTCAGGTAGTTCAAAGACAGGAAAGTAGTTCAAAGACATATATTATGTAGAAGTCATTAAAATATACTAAAGAAGGAGATGGTAAAATAATAAAATACAGGATAATAAAGTGGAAGGGTAACACAGTGAGGGAAGGAGGAGGAGGTGAGATAATTTGAAAAGAGAGAAGAGATGAAGAGGTAGAATGAGAGCACGCATGGGTGCGATGATTTTGTAATGACTTGTTTCTCATGAAAAACACATTATCCTTGAAAGGAATGATTTTTCTCCTCCCGCACACTACTTTGATTTGTGTGTTTACAACACGCTAAGCCCACTGGGATGCAGCTGAGGATTCAGAGCCTTTAGAATGATCAACCAGACACTGCTATTCCAAAAGACACCAAATGCAGTGTAAATAATTAAATATCTATACAAGTCAACTAACATTTATTGAGTGTGCAATCTCAGAATAACGAGGCATCAGCCTTCTGATAGACCTTAGGGTCTTGACAGAAAGCAAAAACCCAGATGAATAAAATGGTGATTTGGGGGAGAGGGACTCAAAAAAGGCAAAAGTAACTTAGCCCAGTAGGTCATAACTTTTTTGGGATAATAGACTTCTTTGTGAATCTGATGAAAGCCTCAGAGCTTCACCCAGGAAAATACACATTTGTGTGCAAAATAAAAATTTTGCTTATGTCATGGAGATTATAGATTTCCTCAAGTTCAATTGTGGGCCCCCTCGTTTAAGATCCTATAGTAAGTGCTGAATTTAATAGATGCATAATTTTTAACGGGCCACTGTTTAAACTACATACAAATTCACTTCAGTTAAAACCTTAGGAATGATTGGAATTCATGAATTGAACTAAAGAGAGGGACCCAGATGCCATCCTCCTGTGAAACTTTAATAAACCAACTAGTTTCTCCATCCTCCAGTGGAGCTAAATTTTGGGGGTTTGTTTATATGTTTATTTATGCCTTGCCATGCTCTGGAAAAATTTTAACTTATAAAAGTACATATAATACAAAAAACATAACAAATATTTTAGGAAAATAAACATCAAAACATATTTAGGATTGAGAAAGTTGAACTAGCAGAACTTACAGTGGCATGGTAGACATAGGTTACAATTTTGTAACTTTCTGGTGGCTAAAGTTAAGATGAAATAGGCTTAATTGCAAGACTAATAACAATCCATAAAATAAAAACTAATCTGGTTGTTAGATTATTGGTTAGGATACATTAGGTTGCAAGTAACAGAACACCTAACTAGGAGTGGCTTACAGGCATTGTTAGGATTTTTTTCTAATATCACAAGAAGCCCAGAGGTAGGCAGCTGT